AAGAGGAATGTTAAAACAGTAAAGTGTTTATGCAAATACCCTAAAGCAAGAGAATAGTGTTAAAGTTAAATGTGAGTTTCTGATTCTTCTGGTATTTCTTGATATCATTTAGTGTGATAAATTGGTTAAACACTGGCTTATGATCTGCAGGGAACCTCGGGAGGAAGCCAAGATAGATCATCCATTTAACACTTCTGACTGGATAAGTGTCACAATGCTTCAACTTTGATTTTTGCGATAATGTACTGAGCTCCCTCAACTTGAAGATTTATTAGTTAATGATACTTAAATTCTACAAGGGGAACCCATGTTCCCTGAGCATTAGCCTGGACTTCTGAATTATTAGTTTAGTGACACTGTGACGAAGCCATCACCTCCCCTTGCTCAATAGTAATATTTGCAGAAAGGTGTTGCCATTCTCAAAGTGTTGTAGTCATTTAAAAGTGTCTGTTCCAGTCATTCCCAGTGTTTCAGGAATGGAATTACCACTTTAAATTTAGTCTGAATAGCAAAAAAATGTTGTGGGTGAAATTTGCAATGGATTAGCAGCTGATTAAAATTGTTACGAAGTATTCCCTCTCCATAGATAGCCCATCACCGAAAGGGAAATTCTGGACCTTTGGAGAACTATACTTTTAAAACAAAAAGAAACATCAGATTGAGTAGCACAATCTTAAACTAAAACCAGACTAAGCTAAGCTTGAGACATCTGAACTATGGAGAGGGAAGTTTATGCACCTCTGGTTGTTTACCTGGGAGAAAAGTAAGCTCAATTAAGTTATTATTCAAGTAAACCAAATCTTAAGGAAATACAAAAAATAGAACTCCATTAATATGGTTGCATTTTTGACAAATTCAACAGGGAGGAAACATGAATATCAACTTATATGAGGAAATGCATACACAACATTTAAATTTGTTGTGAGAGGTGTGGACTACTCATGGAGGCCATGGGGAAGATAGAGCAGAAAGAGTTAAGGAAACTTTAGATCAATAATTACAAGACATTTACACAAGAAAAACATGTATGTCATCCCAAATTGTCAGTGCTGGTATTTATATTCCATGACTTTCTTCACATGATATTGACCTCATCATAGCCGTTGCATATCTTTCTGTTACCTTTCCCCTCATGTACTCTTAAAGGTGGCTTTTGAAAGCATTAGAGCTATTGACCTCAACACATTTCACGTTCTAACCTCAGAAATTTGTCCTTACTTCCGTATTGACCACTAACTTGTATTTATGGCTCCTAGTTTTGGATTCAACTACAAGTGGAAATATTCTGACCACATCTAGACTATCCAACTCATTCATAATAATCCCTAATCATTCTGTTTTGTCAAGAAGATATCCTGAACTTGTTCAATCCTTCTTGATAGCTGCAGTCTGTGTTCTGATATTATACTGTAAACCTGTTTTTGCTCATTCTCCAGATTTCTGTGAACAGCGTACAATACTCTAATGATAGTCTGACCAGTGTCCTATACAGATTCAGTATAACTTCATTACTTTCGAATTTGTTGTCTCTACAAATCTGAATGTTTGTTGGCACTTTTTATTGTATTGCTCATCTGCTTGGCTGTTTTTAATAATTTGTTCACCTGCATCCTTAGATCATATTTGTTCTTCTTAATCCATTCCTTATTTTCTAAGGTCTAGGTGATGTCTCTGTTTTCTCTACCAAAGTAAATCAGCACACATTAAATCTGTCTTGATGTCCATTTGCCACTTACCTACCTTGCCTAAAAATTTTCAAATGTTTCCATGTAGAACATTACATTCATCTTTAGTGTCAATTATAACCTGCCCATCATCATTTGTTATCTGTAAACTTTGATAGCATTATTTAATTCTAAATCCAAATAATTAATCTAAAATATAAATAACATTGGTTCTAGCACTGATTCTTTAGGACACTACTTTCTATTTCTCTCCAGTCCAAATAATTATCCTTTATTACAACCCTCTGCTTTCTACCCATTTTATAACCCATTCAGCTATTTGTCCCTGACTCTGTTTGCGTTAAATGTTATGAGTGTACTGTGTGATATGTTATCAAAGGCCTCTAATAGAGAATAAGACTAATATTTATCTTTGGAATTGCGCAACGTAGATTGCAGTTTTCTTCTAGTATCAACTCCGTGAAAGATGGAGCAGGGGTACTGGAATGATTGGAAATAAAAGGACAAGATTCTTAAAACTAACAACGTGAATATAAAAAATCTGATGATTAATGAGACAAGTTTAATAAATTATCTCAAAATAAATTTCAGTTTGAGAAAGAGACACTTGTGTTAGAAACAAATGAGCTAAACTTAAATAAGGATATTTACAAAAGAATGAGGCAGAGTTGGTTGGAGTGGACTGGGAAAGGAGTTTAGCAGCAAAGTTGAGGAACAATGGCAGTCATTTAAAAAAATAGCTCATGGCACACAACAAAGATATATCAAAGTGTGAAAGAAGTATTCAACAAAGACAACCATGATTAACCAGGGAACCTGATGTTAGTATCAAATTGAAATAAAATCATACAATGTGGCAAAGATTACTGGTAAAACATGGATTGCAAATGTTTTAATATCCATCAAAACATTACCCAAAGGGGAACATAAAAGAGGGAGATGATTAAACTTTGAGGGTAAACTTGCAAGTAATCTCAAAACAGACAGCAAAAGGTTCTTTAAATATATAAAAAGGAAGTGAGAGACCAAAGCGACCATAGGGTCCTTAGAGAATGAGGGTGGGGAAATAGGAAATGGCAGAGGAGTTGAATGAATACTTTGTATCAATCGTCATGGTACAAGGCAATAACAGCATTCCACAAATACTAAATAATCAAGGGACAAAGAGGAGGACAGGGTATAAATACAAAAACTATCACTAGAGAAAATAAAAGCTAATAAGGAAATAAATGAGCTAAAGACTGATAAGACCCCTGAGCCTCATGAAATGTATCCTAAGGTATAAAAGGAAGTACTTACAAATAGCAAATACACTAGTAGTGATTTTCAAAGAATACTTAGACTCTAGAAAATTCCCAGAGGATTGGAAAATTAACAATGCAGCCCCTTTATTTTAAAAGGGAAAGAAAAAGTAGGAAACTTGAAGTAATTACACCATGGTCTTAGCGGACCACAGGGCTGCTCTGTCATGACGGACACAACTATGGTGCTTTAACCTAAGTGTCACCGCACCTTGAGTGAGGGGAGTCCTTCATAGTAACCTCAGCCAGTGCAAGAATTGAACTGTCACTACCTCATTATTCTTTATTGTAAACCAGCCATCCAGCCAATTAAAGTAATTGACCCCCTAGAAGCTAACTATAGGCAGTCAGCTTAATATCTATTACTTGGAAAGTGTGAAAGCATATAATAGAGAATATAATATGATTAAGCAGAGTCAACATGGCTTCATAAGGGAGAAATCATGCCTATCAAGTTTGTTAACAACTGCTTGAGGAGGCAATAAGCAGGAAAGGCAAGGAGCAAGCAGTCAATATATGATGTTTGATAAGGTACCACACACAGGGGTACTAACAAGCTAAAAGCAGAGAAATATAGGCAATTGAAATATAATATGGGAAATTGTGAAGTTGTGCAATTTGACAGGAAGAAGAGAAGCTGAATATTATTTAAATAGAGAAAGACTACAGAAACCTATAGCACACAAGTATATATGTTCAATAGGCAATAGGGCAGGCAAACAGGAAGAGAAAGAAATGTTGGCATGGGAACATAGTAATTTCTTGAAGTGGCAGTCAGCTAAAGAAGTTCAGGCTCATTTCTAGAGAGAGAGTGTAGGTGTTCCACAAAGCACTGGCCCAGTGTGCATTTTGTCTTCCCAGTATACATGAAACCACATTGTGGACAAAATTGAATGAAGTGCACATAAATCTCTGCTTCACCTGGAAGGTGTGCCTGAGGCCTTGGATATTGAGTAGGCAGGAAGCAAATGATTGCGTGGAAAGGTGCCATAGGAGTGTAAGGAGTTGTTAGAGTGGGTTAGGATGTCCAAGACAGAACAGTCCCTACAGAATATTAACAAGGGTGAAGAGGGGCATATATTCTGGTAATAGCATCCTGCTGGAGGTGGTGGAAGTGCCAGCTTATGATCCTTTGGATGCGGAGGCTAGTGAGGTGGAAAGTGAATGTAGAAGGTAGATACATGGAGACAATGCTGAAAGAGAGGAAGAGAAAAGATTGGAGGTAAGCAAAGGAGTTGATAAAAAGTTAGGACAGAGATAAATACTGAATGGGTGCTATCAAAAAGCGTGAATAGTTGAATACAGGTTGGCTATGCTCAGAGCAATCCATACAGAGCAAGACCTCATGGTATGTATCAGTTTCCACTCTGTTGAGGCTAGGTCATTAAATAAATTCAAGGCAGAGATTTCTAATCAGTAAGGGAAAAGGCAGGAAAGAGAAGTTGAGGATTATCAGATCAACCATGTTCTTATTGAATGGCAAAGCTGACTCAAAGGGACGAAGACCTACTTCTGCTCCTATATCTTATGACTTAATTGGAGAGATGGGATTCATACTATGTATGAAATAGAGCAGTTGAAGCTGGAAACTGTAACAATATTAGTGAATTGAATCTTTTGAATAATATGCTAAAAGGAGTGACCAGTGAAGAAGATTGTGAGTAGCGATGAAAGATAATTGCTTTGGTAAAAAAGCAGATGCAGCTAATGGGAAACTGGATCAAAAATAACCCAAGATACAAATATTCTGTATTTCTTCATTCGGATTGAGATGGCAGCTAGGTGATTGACAGGCTTGAAGTTTTTAATATATTTTACAACCACTATCCAGTAGAGTTGTATCTTTCTTTTTTTGACCTTAATAACTACAAATTTGAAACAATTAGGTGTAGAATGAATGGAGATTAATTAAAAACAGCTTTTGTGTTAAGATTTGGTGCGATCTGCCTTGATGAATAACTAGTAAAAGCCCGTTTTAATTTTCAGTAATCGAGCGTGTAACTTTTTTTTGCAGCAAATGTACATTTTCAGCACACAGCAGAGCTGATACAACACCTGGTGAAAGCAGAAAGAAACTATACGCTACAGGTATTGAATTTCTAATTAATATATATTTGCAATGGTAGTGCAACAAATCTAGAGGTTGAGGTAACTAAATGAATTAGTGCTTTAGAGCATTGTTTAAAGACCCATCTTATTGTCTTTGAATCCTAGAGGACATCCATTTCATGCCATTATAATACTCACCTTATTTCATTCCAATCTGGCTAAAGATCAAGCTTACCTATATTCAACAATAGAGTTGGATTTTCAGATCCACAGTAGATGCTTCTACCTGTCACTAGTCAACACTGAGTACCAGGCAACAGTTAATTAACCTGATGAAGACTAGAAAGAATCAACATTCTTGGGCATATGAACACCAGGAGGAAGGTAATGGAACCCGTGATGAAAATGCCATGGAAATAAAGATGGGCCTTTCCTCGAGTTACAAACCTTCAGTGTATAACAAGTCAGTAAAAGAGCATCTGAACTCTGGTTATATTTGAGTGACAATCATGATGTGTGACGACACTAATTTGGAATTTGACAGCCTGTATTTAATTTCAAGTGGTTAGAAGTCAGAACAAATAATATTTCTAATAATAAATGCTGCTATTTTAGTCATATAAATTTATGGCTATGACAGAGTAACATTTCCACATCTCACCTTGTTTAGAGCACAAGATGAGTTCCATTGAATAACTTTTAAATGGAATCTAATTCATACATGATTACTGACAATAAGAATGTCATATCAAATCAACAATTGCTATTATCACTGACAATCATTTATGTAATTATGATACATCTAAAATGTGTTCAATTGACACAATTGTCTAACTAAGTACCAATAATTGTAATACTCATAATTAGTAGCGCAGTTAAAATATATCTTTATGGTTAAAGTTAACTATTGTATACTTAAAATAACATTTGCCATATGTCTCACTAACCTTTTATTTTGTTTATGAGACAGATTTATCCAGATGAAGGCCATTTTATTACAGCTGAAAAAAGCAAGCATCATATGTACAGTGCTATCCTCAACTTTTTCAGAGAGTGCCTCAAGCAAGAAACGCCTATATTACAGAAAGAACCAGAGGACGATGAATAAAATCAGAAACTCGTTAAAAAGGAAAAAAAGAAAGAAAACTCAATATACTGAAGACAAAGCTAATAGTCCAGAACTCTCAAAACCCAGCATTAAATACCACTGTTAGTGGAAGTGCAGAAGTACCAGGGCAGCTGCAAGAAATTTACAGAAACAGCACATTAGAGATTATGAATCTGATGACTGGCAAAAAGGATTTGAAATTCATGTGCCAGGTCCAGGATTATTTTCAAAGGAACCATATTTAAACAATTTTTGGGAATACGTTGACCTGTTAGCACACTTAAACAAAAGTCAGAATTCCAGTTGTGCATATGCATGTGTATTTTGTTTGGCTTCACTGCTATATAGGTTAATACTTGTTGACTGGTAACAACATTTAAAGAGAACACATTTATTTCCTTTTTAACTTCGTATTGTCACTTGCACAAAAATTATGACATATATATTATGATGTGCATTCTTTTTGTCAGAAATCAGACATTGTAGTTTGCAAATTTAAAACCATCCAGCTTCCCTGACATCTCATTATACTACATTAATTAAATAAACAGAGTTTTTATAAGTCTTTTCAAAAGTAGAATGTGTTTTCAAAACATGTGGTATTGTGTATTTTGCATTAGTTTAACGTTCCCATACAAGATAATCTTGCTTTTGCAACATATCCACTTTAATTTTAACTAACAATGTTGCAATTCCCAATTTAGCACAGATCAGGTGATTAAAGATCGGATATAATAAGCCTGTTATTGGCAAATTGTTACAACTTCCAATAACATTTGTGCTCGAGCGAATTTCTTCATTCCCATCAAGCTCACTGTAAATCGGGATTACATTTACCACATCTTGTTTCAAAATTCAAAACAATAATCATAATACATTGTTGCCTCTTTCAATTTGATTTTCCCAATGGGAGCAATATTCAGATACAGGACATTTCAATGACTAATGATTAAAATCTCTTAAATACCGTTATTGATGCATCTTCCAGCATTCAGTATTATCATGACATCTATAAATTTCAGCCATGCCAGAATGCCCCTGTTTGAATCTGGAGGGAAATAATTCCTGAGGATTTCTTCTTATATGCCAGTTGTCAAAATAATTTGAATTTTGTTAGCCCCATATCCACATATTAATGAGTGAACTTGTCCAAAGGGAATATAAGATAACAGTAAGACATCATAACGAATTGAGGCATTGTGTCTTCAAAATAGTTGCAAAGTCTGCCATCATGTGGCCAAAAGCTAAAAGACTTGAATCGAGCTGAACACTTAACTGAATAAATAAACAACAAAACTTCCCATTCCAATGATAAAACCTCTTCTTAACATCTTTGCTAATGCCAGTTTTATAATTGTAAATATGTAGAATATAAATAGTTTGTATAAAAGCTTTTACAAGAAAGGTATTTTATTTTCTGTTATTACCAAATCAAAAATAGAAGATGAAAGAGCAAAATGTTATGTTATACTCCTTATTCCACCCTTCCCAAACATGATCCTGTATTGAGATTCATAAGATCACACAAAGGATACACATCAAAAGTATGGAGATTTATGGATAACTAAGTTACCTGATATAATAATTTTCGAGGAAGAAAGGTTTAAATAGGTTACCTTGCTCATTATTGAGTAATATAAAAACAAAATACTATCATGACTTGATGTGTATTTGTTGACACTGTGGCTCTGTTATATAAAATTTTAGGAATTGCTTTATTTGTAGTTATGGTAAAACTTAAGTGGTTGAAAGGTAAAAGGTACCTGTAGGGAGATGCATGACTGGAAATAATAAAATAGCAAATACCGCTGTTTTTCTCTTGAATTATTAAGAGTAGGTTCCTGAGATTATATTCTTCACTTCACCAGAGCCCTAATATAACTTGTAACATGATCATGTTGTTATTGAAGAGCAACCTGGCACAGCAAACACAGATTTGACTAGGCTGATGCTTGCACTTGAAGAAACATAAGGTATTGTCTGGTAGTTCATTTTTCAGGCAATTTGGTTTAATATTATAATTATAATAATATAATATTAATGTCAAACAAAAAGATGCATGCAGTTAATTTACCGACACTCAAGCTGTTTTACTCAAGTTACTGAATAATTCAAATAAACAGCACAGGCAATATTTTGGTTTTGGAAACAATTAGAGCTGTCCATGTTATCAGCTCCACTCCATACAATTTTTTCGATGTTTTCATGGTGCTGCAGTCTAGTATTTTTCACATCTGTTACACACCAGTTTAAAAGATAACCAACAAACAATAACCAAGAAAAAAACTCACAGAAAATTAATAAACAAAAACACACACATACACTCTGCTTTCCAATTTGCCACTCCATCAATAAATATGTAACATAGTTAAAATACACAAAATGCATATTGCATGCAATTATGATTATTGAGATCCAATGCTTAATAACAATATTGTTTGTTCATTTTTAATTTCTGAGTCAAAAATGAAATTAGCCACACCAGATTTTCAAAGTAGCTAGTTGTTGATACATTGGACAGTGTAGTTCTAATATTTTAGACCTGAGACCATTGGAATAGTCAAGTCTAAATACAGGCATGTTTTCTATTAAATTAATATGGATCCATTATTTTTGATATTCATTTAAACAAATATCTTAAAACTGTTTATTTTCTATCATAAGCATTGGTAAAAGTGCATAGGTACAAACCAAACTGGCTCTGAGAAAACAAAATTTGCACATTTCTAAACAGGGTTTCTATTATCATGAACTCCCGAATTAACCCTCCTACACACACACATGGCCAGGCAAAAAGTTAAAAACGGATAACGTCCAGTAAAGATGGGTGGCAAGGTGGCTCAGTGGTTAGCACTGCTGCCTCACAGCACTAGGAACCTGGGTTCAATTCCACACTCGTGCGTTGTCTGTGTGGAGTTTGCACATTCTCCCCGTGTCTGCGTGGATTTCCTCCAGGTGCTTCGGTTTCCTCCCACAGTCCAAAGATGTGCAGGTTAGGTGGATTGGCCATGCTAAACTGCCTGTTGTGTTCAGGGATGAGTAGATTAGGTGGGGTATAGGGTGATGGGTCTGGGTGGGATGCTGTGAGGATCGTTGTGAACTTGTTGGGCAGAAGGGCCTGTTTCCACACTGTAAGGATTCTATGATTCTAAAGATGATAAAATTTACAGAATGAAGACTTTCTTGGGAGTACTTGAGTTGTAAGCATTTAATCTGAGACAATAGTTGGTTAGTGGATTTCTATGACCATTGCAGTTGTCCTTCTTAATATCCACATATTTCTTTCTAATCAAATCAAAATTGTCACTGGGCACTTTTTCGTGAAAAATAGAAACATAGAGTTCTCCAGCCTCTTTCAGTTTTGCAATCAAAAATTTCATATCACTGTCTGCCAAAAGCAATTTCTTGAAAAACAGCGTCTTTGTGCATTTTGGGTCTGAACACATTCTCAAAGGGGAACATTCTGAGAAAGCACCAGAAGATGACTGGCCAAGTCTTCTAAAGCAACAGAGCCAACCACAGAGCATGCACTCTCCACTCTAACCACAGAGGTCAGGCCTGCATCTAGATGTCGTGGACGGAAGGGAGAAAGAAAACATACTGGGGGCACATAGATGCATGTATGCCATATTGTATATATGCATCCCATCACATTTGACAATATATTTTCTCTTGTACAGTTACAATGTCTCCTATCATCAATGTCAGATCAAGTTAAGTCACACCTATGTGGGAGATCTGAAGCCTGTTTATATGCCACAAGGATGTGAGTCATTTCAATCAATAAACATTACTCGTTTCTCACAAGTGACCAAGTCAGTGACTACAAATAGCATTGTACACAGGGATCCTTAAACATTAACATTGAAAACTGCAGTGAAAGCAATTCATGTTCACATGGAGCACACAGAGGTTAAAGGCAATGTCCAGGGAATGTACCAGGACAAGCCCTGTACCCACAAAGTGTGTGTTAGTATTTAAGGATGTGCAAGAATGTAGAATCAGACATGATTACACACAATTCACCAGGGAACTTGTGTGCAACCAAGTCCTACAGCAAGCTGGCATCTACACTCTCCCCACTTTGTATGCCATTCAGGGTTGTATCTCATCATAAATATCCTACCACTATACTGCTTTTTTAATTACACAAGGGCCAAGATTTTGTCATCTGAATGTGGGAGGTGGGCGTTAGCAATTGCAACTGACTCTCTGCGCTCCAAAGAGGAGGTTCATCAGATTGAGTTCCAGTCAGCTTAAGAGCTGACCAGCAAGTTTCCTGGAGGATTGCAGGCCCTGTCATTTAAATATCATCTTTCCAGGTAATTAGTGGCCAGCAGCTTGCGTGTCCTAGAGACTATTCTTGGAGGGCTAGCCTTCAGAAGATCCATCAGTGAAAATGCAAGTCATTTTGTTTGTGATCTCACAGAGTTGGGGTTGTAGAGAGGTGGATATCAGCGAGGCAAAGCTAAGCAATGTGACTTTCATCAGTCACCCGCATCACTATCCAAATTGACCCTAGACTGGGGCAAGTGGAGATAACCCCTAAACTGGTAAGCAGGTCAGGGAAGCAAATTGGAAACAAACAATGTTGTTTGGCAGGAAGGCAGGCAATCAGCCAAGTGGCAAATTGAAGCCTTTAAGTGGCAATTAAGTGACCATTTAATGGCTGGAAGGTTGTCAGTCACCAATGAACCTTTGCGCCCATCACTTAATTGCTGAGATGGTGAGAAGGACAAATAAATGTGCGAGTTGGCTCTAGATCTGATTCACCAACTCTAAAGGAGAAGAAAATTGGACTCAAAATATCGGTATCTGAATTGGTGGATGGAAGCATGAACTTGAATGGTAGTGCATTTTGATTATCTCTGCTTCCTTGCTGTTCTTCCACTGCCTAATCATAACCAGGTTGCTCCTCTTGACTATTGCAAGAAAGAAAGGTGCAAGAATATGGTTGTGGTTTGGTTTCACATGGGAGGATGAAAAGAGATAAATGTTTTCATCAACTGCAACTTGGAAGTTAGAAGAGAGTGCGTGATGAGGCAGAAGTGAGATCTGAGAAGGAGGTTCAAACAGAAATAAACTACTGCAGATGCTGAAGGTTTGAAATAAAAACAAAAAAAAAAGAATGGCAGACAAACTCGGTAAATCTAGCAACAATTTGTGGAGAGAGAAACAGAATTAAGTTGAGTTCAATATGACTTTTCTTCAGAACTGAAGGGAGCTAGAGGATAATAGTTTTTATGCTGTTGACAAATGGGTTAGAGGAACAATTAAAACAGATGGTGAGTATGCCCAGTGCAAAAGATGAAAGGAAGTGATAGTGGTATGAGTGAGGGATATAGATGCAGTATAGGTGTTAATCATCAGTCAATATTACCACAAAGGTCTGCTCTATGAAAGAAAGCCCATGGAAAAGTACACAGGGGTTTATGGAGGGAGGCGCAATCAAAATGGAGTGTTTATGCACCGAAGTCAGAATAGAATAGAATTCCTACAATGCGGAAACAG